TTGTAAGTCAGTTTCGTGTCGGTATTTGGACTAAAATTTACTTGGTAAGATTTTATGTTTTTGCAGTGTTATGACATGTGGAAACCACATTTGTAACCGATTTTATGATTTTTAAACCATGACTAGCCGTGTTTTGTCAGCATGAGTCAGCTAAAATTGCAAAAGACACCCAGTTTGCTGCTGATACTTTCTTTTAAAGCTGAGTTTTGCTGAAATATTACAGTTTCCTACATATTGTCTCTAAATCTCATGCACGGTGCCATAAATGTCCTTCACCTGATTAACGTCCACTCATCCTTGTTATTCTCAAGAAATCCAGATTTAGAGATCAGCAGAGATCTGTAGCTTTGAATTTGGGCTCTGTGGCACTGGTTCTCTTCGTCAGCAGGGCTTCCCTCCTGAATCAGCCCGGCCAAACTATGCAGCGTCCCACTGCGTCCTCAGATGAGGACATGGACCTGCAGTGAAGCTTAGCAGTTCCAACTTCCTATCAGTGACAACAAGCATCAATCTTAGCCGCCATCCGTCCTGGACCCTGCCAAGCGTGACTCTAGTGAAGTGAAAGATTGTGAATGCCGTAGGCTGCTGGAATTAAACAAAGGCTGGATTATCCTCTCAGTATGTCCCGTAGTGGGACTATTCATCGTCCAATCCCCCAAAGTTCAGAGCGGAAGAAATATCATAATTTTTGTTCTTGGCTGCCGCTGATCCAGTCAGGTTTCTTCCCTCTTGCTTTACCTCACTCATGCTTTCTCTGAAGAAATGTGATTTGTACTGAAAAGTCCAATGAAGTTTTTTGAAAAATTAGACCTTTCAGTTTTTAATCATCCCAAGAAAAAAGCACAGCATTTAGCCACCATATGTTCTCCCTAAAATAACAATCATTGTGACTTTCATTCAGTCACACCTGCTAAAATCGAGTCTTAACACTTAAATAAGAAAGGTGTGAAGTAACATTCGGGAGCAGTAGCTTTCACTTGGGGTATCCCAAAAACTTGAGGAATTAAAACTTATTAAAGCATGAACAGACAGATGGTGGCATGTCTCTGCTGTCAAAACACTTACCTTCAGTTCTCAGCTGTGTGTTTGTTCAGGTGTTGCAGACCCACCACACAGGGTTTCCTGACTGCTGGCTGCATTTCACTCTTAAGTTTATGGATCGCAGGAGTTCAAGATTGTAATTTTAAATGTTTGTGTCAGAGTAAAGCTTCTGTTTTCTGAGAGATGTTGCAACATTTGCTCACTACTTCTCATAGTTTTAACATTACGAATGTGATTTCTGTAATGTAATGGGACTATTTTATGCGTAAGGTTACGTTGGAAGTGACGTACACACTAGAGCCGACAACACACTGTTCTAAAAGGTGACATGTATTAGTGTTATGTTCCACATTAAAAGACGTTTAAACACATTTGACTCTGCATAACACTACAATTTAAATAAGATGGTCAAAAACACTGAAACTTACCAAGTATTTGTTTTTCTCGTACAAATATCTAAGTACATGTGAATTAAGACAAAACTAACAAAACTTAGCAAAATTTTTCATTTATTCATGAAATGTATGTTTTATTTTCACCTCAGGAGAATTTAGAGAAACCAATTAATCTAACAGTTATGATTCTTGTGACAGGAAGTCGAAGCACAAAGAGAACCTACAAATCAAAAGATGTGAAATGTGGAAGTATTAACAAAGCAAAAGAGCAAAGGAGAGCATAGAACAGTGTGGTTAGTAGTGGACATCTATACCATAAATGTTGTTTTGCATTTTGGCTGTGAATATTTACGTAATTCAACAATTCGGGGCACACTTTCTCTGAGCTCTTCATGTCAGTTTGACCTGCATCAAAAGAGCTGCTTGTTTTGTTTTCTGCTATCCCCTCCTCTCCAACGCTTCTGCCTCCTCTAAAAAAACCAACGTTGTTGTTCTGGAGAGAAGGGACCCTCATGTTTGAGGACAACGGACTGGCCAGTGACGTCATCTTTGCCACAGCAAAGTGACCAATGACGTGACAGAAAAGGCTGCGTTGTCCGCAACAGATCCTGACCGAGGCAGACACAAGGAAAACACAAGGAAACTTTCTCTTCCTCTGTGCAAATTTCTTCCAGTTCACAAATAAACTGGCAAAACAACTTCAGTCGCTCTGTTCAAAACTCCTGCTCCTCACTTCCGATGTCCATCACGACGTAACTGCAAATATTTTGCTGAAAAGATACTTATGAGTTAGTTTTTGTCTTATTTCAACTGTACTAATATATTTGCACCAGAACAAAGACCATAAATAGATTTGGTGTTTTTTAAGTGATGCTGTTGAACAAAAACTCTCAGATTTCATAATATTGGCCAATAAAACAGAAACGAAGGAGGCGCTGGGCGGAGCCACGTGCGGAGGCAGCGGCGGTCGTCCTGGGTTTGGTTCCTGGTCCCGGACCATTTGCTGCATGTCTTCACCTTCTCTCTCCACTATGTTTCCAGAGGATTTACTGTTTTTTGAAGGTCAAGAAAGCCACTAAATAAAAAAAAAGAAAACAAACGAAATAAAAATAGAACATAAAGTTTATTTTTTGAACATATGTGGAAAAGATACAGCACAAAACATAATGTTTAAACTTTGGTTTTTACATATTCAAGGGAGATAAAGTATAAACTTATCAATATTCCCACTCCTTGTTCTACCACTGAGTTTTAGGGTCACACTAAGCAAATAAAAAAATAAATAAAATTACGAGAATAAAGTACTATGAGAAGTCAAGAATAAATTACAACTTTCTTCTTGTAATTTTTTGACCTTATGGTCATTATTTTATTTTTCATTTTCTGAGCATGGCTCTAATATACTGTTGAATTATTCACCTAATCTTACATTTATTCTGTTTAACTTTAATTACAGTGGATCAACAATTATTACACAAAAACAAAACTAGCATCAATTACAAAACACTATCAATAATCATATGTTTACATAATAATTTTAACAGTTTTTTTGTTTGGATATTGTCTAAGTTTGATATTCAAACTGTATTTTCCCTTCTTATAATTTTGCTTCAGCCTTAAACTTTTTTTAATGTTTTCCTTTAATTATTTTTTTTATAGACAGTTGTCTGTAGTTCTACTATGTCAATGAATTTTAATAATTCAGATTTTACAAATAGTGGGTGTTTCTTCTAAACATCCAACCGTATGGATTATTCTTATTGTTATCGCCTGTAGTGTAATTATTTATAGCCTCAGATCTGAAGGAAAGACATAAAAATTTAAATATTTATACTGAAACAGAAATACTGCTTGTGCTAAATATTTCTACTCTGTTGTTCTGGTCTTTGTAAGTCAAAGACAAACTAATTTTTCACTAGCTAATTAGCTGCTTTAGCTAATGAAATCTGAGTTGACAGAGTTAAGTGGCTAATTAGCTTGTTAATCAGATTATCTTGCTATAAAATTAAGACCGCATTCAATAAAATTCGGCACAAAGAGCCACATTTACGTAACTAAAGCTCAAACTAGTATTTGAAGGTTACAGTTCTCTCTCAGACGGCAGCAGAAGCAGAAGTGGGATGGAAGGTGCCAAAAAGCACAGGCCAGACGGGGTGGTCCGGAAACGGCCTGGGGATCCAGTGAAACTTAACAAGCATGTTCCCGTTGGATGTTAAAATGAAGTGTAACACAGATATTAATGTAGCAAGTATCACAACACAGTAGAGGAATGCAAACTGGAGCACTGGGACATCAAGCTGGACGCGAACCAACTGCAGCCAAATACCCGTATAGTCATAATAGCTCAAACTCCACCAGTCCTTCAATGGCCAGCCAGTTTCAAGCGTTACGTTTTCAGCACAGCTGGCCAGGAGAGGTTTTAAAATGACTCCTTCTGTGGGTGGAGGTTTATAGTTACTCACCTAGGGAGGGAGTTGGGCTTTGTGTTGGGATAAATCACCGGTTGGGGTTTGGAGTCCATGCTTGAATCTCATATCGTTACTCTGCTGTTTACTGTTCTTTAGCACTTACGAGTGTAAAAACACTTTTTTGTATTAAGGAGGCCAGTCGAGGGCACAGACTGTCGAAAGGTGCCTCATTAAATTGCAGCTTCTGCAGTCTTGGATTACAACAGACAGTGGCCCAAAGCTTGAATAACAAAACCATTCACTTACCCAAACTACGCTAAGCTAAACATGTTAAGTGACTAGAAAAATTAGCCTGTGCCATCAGACAGGCTAATTGCTGATGGCACAACAAAGTAGTTTGCAAAACTTGTGTAGTTCTGCATACTACACACATGACATGACTAGCCTGTGTAGCTTAGCTGGTTAGCATCTCGTCTTTTGTATGTTTTTAATGTTGCTCCGGTGGAAAGGAAACACTGTTTATGACACAGTGACATAAATCATGTGGTGAGGATTGAGGTGAAGTCTGTAATTTGATGAGGAAGGAGCGTTGATGGTGAAACAACAAAAGGAGCATTTTATTTCTCTACTGACGAGGAGTGTGAACAAAACACTAATGACATGAGCAAACTGATTAATGGCTTTGGTAGATTGGTAGACTGGCCAATCGGATTACAAGGGAAGCTGATGCTCCATTATGAATTAATCAATCAATTTTTATTTGTGTTGCACATTTCAGCAGGAAGGCATTTCAAAGTGCTTTACATTATAACAAACACAAAAACACAAAGTCATACAACATAGAATCAGCAGCCAAAACATTACATTAAGTCAAGTTCCATCGTTAAATTCGTAATTGATTAAGTTTCATATACAACTCTAATCAGGTTGAGATTTAAAGGAACTCAGTGTTTCAGCTGTTTTACAGTTTTCTGGAGGTTTGTTCCAGATTCGGGGTGCATAGAGGCTGAATGCTGCTTCTCCTCGTTTGGTTCTGGGGATTCAGAGCAGAACCAGAACATGAAGACCTGAGAGGTCTGGAAGGTTGATGCAGCAGATCTCTGGTGAATAAACTCATTAATGTTGCCTCTCGATGTTCTGTTTGTGTATTTTTCAGAGGTGGGCATCCTGTGGGCTGCTCACCAGGTTCACCACAGTTCAGAGTACTACAACCTGACCACGGCGCTCAGACAGTCGCTCACCCAGCAGTTTACATCTTGGGTAAGACTCCTTCTTCTAGTACAACTCAACAAATCCACTAATTATTAACAGATTGATAAGCGTCGTCCTTGTGGCCTGAATTGTTTTTCTTCCAAATGTTCTTTGTTGTTCATTACTGAAATCACACAACTACTTTATTTATCTGCTGCTGTGAATAATCACTAAATCTGCAAACAATGAAACTTGAGTGATGCTTCGAAAGCTGTAGCGATAAATCTGTTCACACTGAAACGTTTTGGTGCAGAATGAATGTGGTGTTGTTTTAAACCTGATCACTACCAGAACATTTAATGTCTGGGACTCAGCGTTCCGCCCGGTGGCTTTAAAACGCGACACCAAAACAAATCAGAGCAGGAGAACAACCAGCTACCACTGAAGCCTGATGTTTGTGAACATTACGGTTTCCCTTTTGGCTGCGGTGACGACGGAGGAAGAAAGGTGGACCAAACCAAAGCCTTGTCAGTGTTTATCAACAGTGACGAGCGCAATTCAGTTCGCGCTCCACTTCACACTTTACTGACCTGAGAAGCCGTCATGTAGTCTTTAGACCAGCAGATATAAGACCACACACTGGTGTTTAGCTCTGTCCACTACAAACACTGACTTACATTAAAAACCTCTAAAGTGACTTAAAGTTCAGTGAGAGTCTTATTTAGACATTGAACAAAAGTTCAGATTTTCAAACGCTGGACAAGTCAAAGGCTTGAAACAATAGACATGCGAGAAGCGCCGCAACGAGTGTCGACGAGTGTCTGGATGTAATCCTGACACTCAAATCACGTCACTCCATTTTGCTAAAAAATAAACATTTAAAATATAGATATAATAACAAATGCAGATTTTTTACAAAATTTTTTTCTGCACTATTTGCATTGAATTTCAGCAAAGTACGACACTAAAAGTAACAATAAGATGCTTTTTTTCTTGTCATTAAGACGGAAGCTGAGATTTTTTTTAGATTTTACGTCATTTTACATGAAAATGAGGTAAAAAAAACCACTATCCATCCTATTTTTACAGAATTCTATGTTTATATTCATTTTAAATCCTAAAAATAGACATAAAAAGAAAAGACTCTGAACCAAATTAATCTCAATAAGTAAGAGATCTTGTTGAGTGATCCTGTCCTACAGTAAGTATATTCTGAAATTGCACGTTCTCAGTTGCAGATGATATAAAATAGAGTTTTTTGCTCATGATTGTGTATTAAATAGTTTGACACAGTGTCCTGTTCACCTCTTCTGTCCACTTCAGATCTTCTATCTTCCTATGGCTCTCGCTGTTCCTCCCTCCGTCTTTGCTGTTCACATTCAGTTAAACCTTCTCTACCAGTTCTGGATCCACACTGAGGTAATTATGACATGCTATAAATATAATGAACAAACAAGCCTGTGGATTTTCTATTGAGCTGCAGCTAAACACCTCGGATTACCCCAAAATGAGCTCAAATGTGCAAAATATTAATATTTGTGTATTTATTTAGGTCTTAAATTGAAAAATAAAAGACATTTTTACTACACAATTTTAAACATGGCAGTCAGGAATATTCTGTGGGGGTGAAAAAAGCAATACATATACTTTCTGTTCAGCGTTTGCAATGTGTGAGCGTCCATTTCCTGACGCTAGGCAGAGTTAATGTTTAACTGAAAACTCTTTAAAGTTATCTCTCTTCTTATGCCAGTTGCAATTTGTCGGTTAAGTCGGGCTTTCTCGTCTCAGCGGTGCAGTGTGGAACCTGTGTTCAATAAAAAATAATGAGATTTTACGAAAGATTCCAAACAGAAGCACAACCACTCTGTCTGCCTTTAAAGTGACTGGGAATATCACGTTTACAATCCCCAGGACCATTACAGGCAGCGGGAGGATTTGGAACGCCCTCCCTCCGTCTTTTAGTGCACTATTAGTGAAAAAAGTTGTAATAGTCACAATTTTCTCAGAGGATGTAATTTATACCTCATTTATAGACTTTCATTTTTTTTTTTTTTGATGTCATGTAAATTTACTGGCACGCTATTGGCCGCTGCTTCAGAGCTGAAGTGAAGCGGCGCTCTTTCATTCAAGATAAAACTCTCACGCTCAGCAGCCATTACGTGGAAGTAATGAAACATTCGGTCCAGACCGCACACGCATCCGCACCGACAGACCAGATCAGGCTCACACCAATACAGCCACATAAACTGGGCTAAATTTGACTGATTGAAGTTGATATTGTGGAACAAAAGACAATTAAAGCTGTGAAGTTTCAGATCTTCTGTCGCAGTGAAACACATTTGTTTGCATTGTTTACTTTGCTTTATTTGTAGCAAAACTGTTGAAGAACGTAACAAACATCCATTTTTATTAGAGCCACTCAAATATACAATATACAATTCTTATTCTCGTTAAGTTCCCACAGTTTTAGCAGCTTTTTTTGTTTTCCTGTTGAACCAACTCTTCTAAATGAAAAGATTATTAGATCCTCTGTTGTCATTTTGACAAAACAAAAATTATTTTATCCAAATAAGTGTTCAGAATTGTAACTTGGAAAAAGAAACATTGTTTAAAGAAGAAACTTTCATACCTAACGCTTTGTTTTGTATATTTTTCATTGTGCTAAACCAGCTCTGTGTGGGAAGATAGAAGTCGTCTAAGTGCATTGATTTCACCCAAATGCATAATAAAAGCAGCAGCAATTCTATTTGCAGGACTTTATCTACGAACCGGAAACCATGACATTACCGGGTGTGAGGGCAGAGCTAAATTCAATTTAATTTAATTAAATTCTTTACAGTTTTTCTACAGCACAACTTTAAAACCAACGCTAAAACGGCTTTAGAATCATATTAAAAACAATCAGATTCAGTTCAGATTGACTCAAATCAATCCGGTTCATAACACAACCCAGTCGATGGAGGAAATAGGCTCAAAGTTAACGGCGGCCATATTAATAACATCCATTGTACTGGAAGAACATCGGCTGAAAACCTGAGAACGAATTCAAAATGTTTTATAGGAAATCACCATCTGGAAATTTTCCAGTGGAAACAAAAAGATTACAAATCCCGTCAAAGGTTTTACTTAAAAGATCATCAATGTGAAAAGTACGTGACATTTTCCAGGTGATCAGGGACCTTGGACCTCTGGAGTGGATCTTCAACACGCCCAAACATCACAGAGTTCATCATGGTGAGTCAGTCAGATGTTCACAAACCACCAATCATGTCTGGAAATTTCATAATTATGTTCACATCACAAAATGTGACTTGAACAGGAAGAAACCTTTACTGCATTGACAAGAACTATGGAGGAATTCTCATCATCTGGGACAGATTGTTTGGTAAGAAAACTGATAATTGTCTCCATTTCACTCCTTCTTACCTCCTAATTTGATATCCTGAATGTAAATATAACCTACTTGTTTGATCATTTTTACTTTTTATTCCCTTAAAGTAAAAGTATACTAGTAATTTTAAAGCATTGCTACAGCTTCCTGGTTGTAAACAGGTATGATGTGTGTAATGGCCTGTCACATGATCCCCAATATGAAATATAAGTTTTTGGATCATCCATTACTTTAATGATGAATGGAAACTAAACAAAGAACGAAGAATTAGAAAAAGATTTCCGGTGTTTTATGCTCTAAGTCAAAGAGCCATTTTGTTCTCAAACCAGATAAAAAAAAAACTTTAGAGCCATAAATTCTGCACAGCTTTTTGCCAAAACAGTTAAAAAACATATTTGATGTGCACTCTGTTGATGTTTTCATGATGTGAAGCCCTCTGAACTGCCTTGCTGCTGAAATGTGCGGCATAAATACACTTGATTGATCAAATTTAGATAAAAATCTACTTTAGAAAATGTGTTCCAGTTTTTTAAGAACAGCAATTTCATCTCTAGTTTTAGGATTTAAAGTCAAGATGAACATAAAATGTAACAAGAGGATGAATTTTTTTTTGTAAAATAAAACAGCACAGATTCCAACCCATTGACAAGAAAAACTGATTAAAAGCATAATACTGGTACTTTTAGCATAGAAATTTAATGCAAATATTGCAGAATTTAAAAAAAAAAAACTTATAAAAACCCGCATTTGTTATTACATGTATATGTAAAATATTAGCTGGTTTAGAACTGAAAGCGTGACATTTTACTAAGTGGCATCATTACACATCAAAATGTTGGTCAGTGTCACATTTATCGTGGTTCAAAAGCGACTTAAACAAATGCTGTTCGGCAAAGCAATACCGAACAGCATTGCTTTGCTGTTCGGTAATGCACTACGTGTTTCAGACGTAGTGCATAGATGCTGAATGCAGATTCCTGATCTAGCCAGATACTTTTCTGAGAGAATCTTATTTCAATCTGCATTTATTCCTCAGGTACGTTTGCTGCAGAGTCAGATAAAGTCATATACGGCCTGGTGTTTCCCATCAACACGTTTGAGATCCTCTACGTTCAGGTTGGTCCTCCCATCTGATAATGAGCAACTTCTATAGGTGAAGCCTGAGCTCATGTTCCCTTCGCTGGCTCCGGGGCCTTTTCCTAACCATAACATTATTACTCTATTCCAAACAAACTGCCCAGCTGAGGTGAAAGAGGCCAATAAAATAAAATACCAGGTGGATGTTATAATTAGTGTCGCTGCCCGCGCCGTTGGCAGAGCACAGCGTGAGCTATGTCCTGCCTAATGACGGCAGAAACGCTGCAGCTCCAGATTAATTATAGCCGCTCTTTGTTTGGTCGCATTTCAGGTGAATGTTTTGTCGTAAGCTGATGTCTGACGTGTGTTTCTTTTTCTTTCAGTTGCACTACTATGTATATTTATGGAAAAGATCCAGAACTTACAAAACCGTCAGTGACAAGATGTCAACTTTCATCAAAGGGCCGAGCTGGAAACCCGGTAAACGTCGTCTCGGTGACCACGTCGACAATCCCAAGGTTTGCAACATTCTTGACAAACAATGAGAAGAAAGAGGGGGGAAAAATTTTTGAAAAGCCCTCAGGCTTCATTACCAATCATTTTGACACACACAAAACACAGCCCCGAATGACTCAGAGCATTCTTTGTTGAAGGATTCATATATTTTACAAGTTTTACAAGAAACTGCCACATGAAATAAAAGCTGCACAGCCTCTGTACAGGCGTCACAATAACTTCAGTTTCAGCGTCTTTAAACAGAGTTTGCAGGACTAAAACCGCATGCAGTAAACTGTGAATGCATGTGTGTGTTGGAGCAGAAAAAAATAAAGGTTCCAGTTGAACGCTTCAGTGGTTTGCTTTGAAATAACGCCTTTGGTGTCACACATTTAGTCCCACAAGCGAACAAGGGAAAAAAAAAAAAAACGCTCAGACTTTGCATCCAACAGATCACTTTAAAGGCATTAAAAAGAGATTCCGCTTGAAATGTCAGTGAAATATCTTGGATTTATGAAGACAGGTTTCACTGACGCAGGTAAAATGAAGGGATGCTTTGCTGCCGAGAATAAGCAGAGCAGGAGGCTGGAATATCTACACAGACAGGGCGGGATGCGGTTGTTCAAGATTATGGGAAAACCCCCAGGATTAAAGGACAAGACGATTCTTTTATCTGTTTTTTTCTTACCATTTTACTCCAAAAAGGTTGCAGTTTTATCTTAAATCTCACTGTTTTGGACAAAAAGGGAAAACAAAAAGAAAAATGTCCAAATGGGTTGGAGAAGTCCTCGCTGTTTGGCAGAAGAAACTGCAGCCAATAAATACCACATTTCTTTTTAATAGAACATAAGAACATAACGGAGCAGAAAATTTAAGGCCATATGTAAAATGTTCAGCTCTTCTTGACCCACTTGTACTTTAAAAATCATTCAGGGATGTCTTAAATGTGTTGCCTTTTTACGTTTTTCCTTAAAAATAAAACCATTTAGCTGTGATAACCAGATGTGTACAGATTGTGTATTTTCTCTACATCTTTGTTTTTTTTTTCCTTTTTGTTTTTGTTGTAATGCACAAATGGTATAAGAGCCAGGACTTCTTGGTGATTATGTGCAGCTGTTCTCTCGCATGAAAGTCCAGTATTATGAGATTGAGTACTATTGACATCTTAAGCTACTGCTGGTGCTTTAGAGCACCGTTTAAACACTACAGTTTACATAAAACATTTTAACCGTTACCTCAACCTCAGCTACGGTTCTTATTTGAGGATAGAAAGGAGTCTGCAAGTTCTCAAAGGGTTTGGGTCAGGTATGGCTTCGGTCTGTCATTATTGCTTCATGTTTAAGGCCTTTTCATGGCTAGCTATGCAGCTTATTCTGCATAAAACCCATGAATGTTTCAGACTTTTAAAGATCCAGACGTTTCTCTGAACCACTGATTGAAGAATGAGATCTTTTCTGCTTGCGGGTCGGTGCCTGTAAACGGCTTCCCTTTGGTCACACCGCTCCACTTGTTGCGGTTTGCTAATTGCTTATCAGATTTTTACAGCATTGCTTTGCTGTTCGGTAATAACTGTGATCAGCTCAGTCAGCCTTTTCAGTTTTTTCTTGTTTGGTGTCACTCCATGTGGCTCCCTCAGCATTTTGGGTCTCTACTACTTCTAAAAACATCCCAACTACTCCAAAAAAACACCCAGGCATTTTCTGGCAATAATGTTTTTTGGTGAACCCTACTTCGTCACTAGCAAAGCAAGCTAAGCTCCAAAACGCTTAGTCAGCTGGTTGTACCGCTGTATGGCTGCTGGAAGAGAAAAGTCTTTTGTTATTGACTTATCGTCCAGAAACCACTTCCTGCATTCTTGCTGGTTGTACAGAAGGCTCTACTAATGCTTTTCAAACATGTACAGTTGTTTAGTTGCGTATCTGTTTGCAGCCATATTCAGGTGCGAGTGTAAACGTTGAGTCAGGGGGGCGTAGCCAGAAGCAGCTTATTAGGATTTAAAGTGACAAGAGGTAATAAAACGGATAAGAATAATTTTGTGCCAAAAAAAATTGTTCCATGTGAAATGATTTATTGATAATGTTCCCACACAGTCTGAAAAAGCATTGAAAGGTATAGAATTTGATTTAAGGAAAATTTTGACAAGAGAAATGTTTAAAGTGCCTTGATTAAATCTTTTTTTTTTTTTTGGATCAGGTAACTGGAAATGAAATACCTCATGGTCCCAGATGGTCGCTGACATTTCAAGTCTATGTGGGCTTACATTTCCTGCTGGTGCTTTGGACGTACCACGACTTGTTTGAAACCAAAACGGTACGTCTCTCTCTCTTTCACATATCACTCAAAAACTTCATTGAAAATCATTCAAAGTATTTCAGGTCTGATTTCTACAACAAATGTCTTTAAATGCAATAATTTTTAAACTGTATTAAGGAAGTATTTACTTAAAATGAACTCATCTTGTAAGTTAGTTTTATCTTTTCTCAAGTATATTAAGATATTCACACTATGATTTAGACCAAAAAACACAAAATACTTGGTAAGATTTTGTTTTTGCAGTCTAGAAATGCTAGCGATGCTAAACTGGTGCTGGATGTTGATATTGCTCAAATCAAGCATGAGACGGTCAGTGGAGGTGACTCCAGCCGCTCAGCTGTGTTTGTTTGCCAACATTATTTGGTCCAATTAAGCGGTTTGTTGTGGCTTCTTCGTGGCGCAGTCGAGTCCCGTACTTATCTGGCAGTAAAAAAATCAACTCAGCCTAACATCATGACAGGATGACGGATCGGCATTGCCTTTTAAAACAACCTTTGTCTATTATTTTCCACTCGACACGCCAAGAGACCCCCTTCTTCCAGCCGGAGGAAATAGAGGAAGCAGGTCTCCCCAGGAGTTATCTTTGGAAGCATTTTTTTGCTTTTTTTCCTACGGGCATAGTTTTGGTCAGCCCCAACGTGCTGTCACGCCCATCCCTCTTTGAAACGGCAAAATAAAATGTCCTGTCTTCCTCTTTTCTGATCGCTACACTTCTTCTTACACTTGCGGTCCGCTTTCCAAACACACGCGCTCGCACGCACACACACGTCTTCCCTTCTGAGTTGAGGTTTCCCCTCCCTGTTGGCGAATGAGACGCCAGCTGGTGGTCCGGCAGTGAACACAAACGCCTTAATTGTCGAGTCAACCATTTCCCAACGCAAATAGCCTTCAGGATGCAGCAATCAGGACTTGGAGGGGAAAATAACAAAGTGAACTCCTTGGCCAAACAATAAATCATGTCACGGTTATGTATTTATACCCACATGTTCTCAAGCCGGTTATTTAGTCTGACAATTGATGATACGCTGCTGGACAGTAAAAACGGGCTCCGCGTTAATTCAAAGTCATAAAAAACTAAAAGCAATGAAGCTTTCGTCATCATTAGATCAACATTAACCAGGCTAAGAGATAACTGAAGGCAGCAGCATCAGTTTTTATCAGGAAATTGGTCTCTTCTTGTGAAAATAGGACGTATAATAAAGTTGTTATAATCAAATTAATGCAGCGTTGATGCTCTTGGTGCGTCTTGATCAAAAATCTTTTATCTGTTTTGCAGCTTTCTCAAGAAAAACAACAACAAACAAAATCTATTTCAGCACAAACCACTTTAAGACACTAATGACATGCTTGAGCTAAAATCCAGCTGAGACGGCGATCTCTTAAAAGATCATACGACATGGAAAACATAAAAAAGTGCTAACATTATGTAATCATCTGGAGAATTTTTTTACATGTTTTCACTGGTAATTTGTTTGTTTATCTGTGGTGATGCAGAGTTGTTAGAAGTTGATTAATTCCACGTTCAAAGTCGTGACTGGCAGATCCAGTCCAAAACATTATGATACAAACAACATGAAGCATGTTGGTGAGATTAAAATAGACCTTAAGATTAAATTAATGATAATTTAATTATTGTTAATTAATAATAATAATAATAATAATAAAATAAATACATTTTATTCATTTATTTCAAACAGACAAAAAGTAAAAACAAGAACAGATTAAATTAAAACAAATTATCGATGCTGCTTTCCATCTGTGAGCGCTGTAAATAAAAGAGCTTACCTGTAATAATTAGCTTTGGTTCATCTGTCTGTTCATCTGTGGGACTGAACGGTGGTTGAACTGTGCTCCTGTTTCTTTCCATCTGTCCCGGTTTAAACAGTCAGGACAGAATGAATGACAGGTTTAATTCTCTGCAATAATTTACAACTTAAAGACGACAAAATCTGAGCTGACGCTGTTGATTCTTAAACTGTCAGCTGAGAGCACGTCTTTAGCGTGACTTACTAAAATAACATCTCAGAACAAAGTACTTTTTTTTATTGTTTTTTTTCAACTAACAGACCAACAGACCGAGCTTTCCGACATTCATAATACTGACAGAAATAATAGCCTGAGTAACGAGTTAATCTGCTTGTTGTCAGGAGACGCAGTAATAACAGTCATTTCTGTGCTTGCAGCTCAGTTCTGCCACCAGATGTGGAGCTAACGTTTTGGGTCGCCACAGCTGGAAGAGCGGCACAATGCTGCACCACAAAGAGTTTCAACCACTTATTCCTGTACAGTTTGAATATTGCTAGAGTCTGACATTGTTCTACTCTGATATGAGGGCTTTTGTTCACTTTGGGAAACAGATTTTTTTACTTATTTGATATTTAGGCTTAATGGCTCTCACTGTGGTTCGCTGGAGTCCCAAAGCTTCAGAAATGACCTTCTGACCTTTTCCAGACTAATAGATTCAATTACTTTCTTCCTCATTTGTTTCTGGATTTCTTTGATGTCTACACTGTAAAACATTGGAGTTGTGTCTGCTGTCTTCTGCTCTTTAAATCAAATAAATTTAGCCAGTTTTAGATTTTGAACCTAAATGTAAGTTTGTGAAAATTAAACGTCAGTAGTAGGTTGTGTTAACTTTTAATTAATTTTCTCAAACTTCCAAGAGTTGAATAAACTAGAGTTTTTAGGTTAGCTCATTGTAATGTTTAATAAAATTATCAGATTAGAAATTTTGTTCATGCAATTTAAAGCAAGAATTTAAATTATTCTAAACTAAAATAAGTAGTTATTTTAACTTGATATTGTGAGTAAAATCATAGAGAAATGTGGCTCTTTAAATAGGTGAGGGCAGTTTTTTTCTTGCATTTGTGAAATAATTATTTGGTTTAAATTGCAGCACTAAGTTAAAACTCACATTCAAGATTAAGGAAGTTAAAAAACAATATTTAAACAACTTGTCTCTTGTTGTTAAATCAACTTTATAAACTTTAATTTCTGAGTTAAAACCAAAACAGTTTTCCTGTCGACTTAAATTGCATTTTAAAGTTAAACCACCTTCAAATGTTTTACAGTGTAGCTTTTGAGGATCATCTCCTGTACTGCACTTTCAGGCAGATCTTATTTAAATGATGATGATCTTCCTTCTCCCTATGAGACTGCCTGATCAGAGTCATCCAATCACAGCTAGGAAGAGGGTATTAGATCTGTCAATCATCCTTGTGTATGTGCTAAAGACCTCCTGCTCTTAGCACATTGATCAGCGCGTACATGAGCATGATTGATCAGGGTTTCCTTCAGAAAATTTGCTAAGCAAGGAGGTAGGGTTGGGAGGACAGTGCACCGGCTGCCCGCCGTATTTGTATGTTGAAAATTGTTAAAAGTAACAAAAGCTCAGAGTCGCAGAATGGGGATCATAATTTGGAAACAAAGTGTGCACAAGGCGTCAACCACAAACTTAGCTTAATTTGTCTTTACTGTTACTATTAATGATGTTAAAAACAATCTACTCTTAGCCTGTTGGGAGCGCAAGTAAAGAAAATCAGGAAGGAGACAAACACTTTTTCACACCACTGTACATTTAAAGCGAAAACGAAGGACTTTTTACATTTGATTAAAAATACTTGGACCAACGTTTTCTGTGTGGCTGTTATAAATTTAATCAGATAAAAGCTGAGAACCCCCGCCCACTGACACCATAACTGTATCCTCTCGTATGAAGACTTATGAAGTAAAACCCATTTTATGGACTGTGATGCTAGGGTAAGCGTAAAGACACACTGCATGGTTGCATCCAGTGGATGGGTTTATTTCATCCTGACTGTATATGGTGTCTCCTCCTGGGTATGGGAGCAGTGAGATTTGGCTGTTAGTCTTTGTATTGAGTGTCAGAGAAACATAAACCTTAGTTTACAGCACGCAGCATCCTCAGGGGACGCTCGGCTTCCAGCTGCTGCCCGCAGCCAAGGCCTTAGGTTAGAGAACACATTTTAGATCCAGGACTTTGTGTTTGTGTGAATGTCCCAAATAGCTGGGAAAAGGTCAGTGGGAGTCTGGACGGGATCTTTGCTCCACTCTTGGTTGTTTTGGCTCCTTTTTAGGGGATTTGTGCAGCAGTCTGTTCATCTGTGGTCAAATCCCCTGTCAAGATGACCAGACCATCTCTTTAAACTTTGGATGTCTGAGTGCAATAGCTGCAGTGTTGAATGGGTGCCAGTGCTCTCGCATTGAAGGTCAGACATGTTTATGTTGGCATTGGCACGTAAAAGTCGAGCAGCCGTGTGGTTGACGGCCGCTCTCCCATGAAGGTCTCCTGCAGATGTTTCTTTACCAACCATGATATTGATTTTAGTTGTTTTTTATGTATTTTTTCCTCATATTTCTCATGGAAATTGTGTTTCTATCCTAGGTGCTGTCTCAGTTAACTATTTTCGGGATGACCAGCTATGTTTTGCTTACCCTGACATCCCTGGGCTTCATCATCGAGCAAAGGTACAGTTTGTGTTCTAATATTAGCATAAAACATCTGAAAATGTTGATATAAAATGTTGTAATTTTATTTTCTGGAACTTCAGCTGTTTGCAAATTAAATAATTGCAAATTATGATCTCAAAACAAAATTAATTTATGTGAAAAGTAATTGGCTGTGTTAATTCATAAGTTGACATTTATTTGGTCCAATTTGCCTTTCCACACCAAGACCTTCATCACTTAAAACAGAACCTTCTGACAACATGAAGTAGGCTAAAATGTGAACCCACATGTGTCAAACTCATGGCCCGAGGGCCAGATCTGGTACGCCGTAGCTTTTAAAGTGGCCCTACAGATTCTAAATTACATCATAACTCCAGAAAGTATTGTTTCCACAGTCCAACATAATCTGCTGAAAACCTTTAAAATCTACTTCAGATTCATCGATTTCTTACTAAGTTTTTATTTCAGTTTCTTTTAGCATCACCTTAAGGGCTTAAAAAGTATAAAATTTAGTGACAGATAGAAAACCAAGCTCAGTTTAGAGGAGGATATTTCTAGGACTTTGGGATAACGGCAATAGCCATTATCCAAAAATGGAGAAAACCAAAAGACTGGTGAACCGCATCATTGAAAGTACTGCAGGGTTTATTTGCCCCAGTTAAGGTCACTTCTCATGGCTTAACAATAACTGGGTAAGCATCTATGAATGGGGTCCAAAACCACTGCTTACCAAAAAAAAAAAAGGCGCAAGAACTTGCCAATAAAACTTTTTGCGTTCCCTGTTCAGAAAATATTTTCTTAACTGGTGACACAAAGGCTAGACTTCTTGGAAAGTTTGCAGAATTGAGTGAAAACCCGGGAATTCGGCTCTCTGGTCCAGCCATGCGTGAGTGAAATGAAACTTAAGTTGGTCAAAAATCCAAAGCACATCAACAAGTCGCAAAACTAAGGCGAAATATAAAGGTTTTAGAGTGGCCTAGTCAAAGTCTGAACTTTAATTGAGATGGTGATTACTTTCCCACATAGAAACCGGTTGGTTTTGATAGATTTCCTCCCTCAATAAATTAAATCGGTGTCAATAAAATTGACACTTGTTTGATTGTGTGAAACATTTTGTCGAAAAAGGGAAAACAATCTGTTACTGTCCTCTGACTTCATGCGTCTGTGTCTGCAGGCCGTCGTCAGCCATCTTGGAGACGATCCGCTGCGTTGTCATGGTCTCGCTGATGCGGTACGGCTACCTGAGGTCCCCCTTGCCTTTACTCTCTGCCCCCACTGAGGTGAGCTAAGCTACCGGTGCTACAGATTAAAAGAAAGCAGGCATCACTAGACGTTTTTATTTCATTTTGTTTTTTTTCGACAAACCAAATTCTCCCCGTTCATCTCAGCCTCACATGTTTTGGCCAAACATTTTGGTATGTTAGGCTACTGGCAGAAGATGTTTTCTTGATTTGCTGGCTTCAGACAATGGAAAGTTTCAAGCTGTGACGGTTTGGCAAACTTATGGTGTTTCTCTTTTTCTCCTAACTCATATACTTCATTTGTCAAACTTCACATGTCTCCTTCTTACTGCTCTTTTTCTTATGCATGCAATTATTTCATGGTTTCTGCACCAGGAACACTGAGGAAAAATATTTGTGCTCAAAATACCACTTCAATCTCTGTTTTTTTGTTTTTACATGGAAAATAAGTTAGAAAAGGTGAAGGAGAATAAGAGAAAAAGAATATACTGATGACTGCGTGTACACAAATTGTTAATTGACTGGGTGGTGCACAGAATAATACTGTTGAGTTTGTTTAGTGATGTCATTCATTTGGTGGCCTTTGCACATCATTTAGGATAACATCCTACTTTGATTTCGAAGTTAATTGCATTGTGGAAAACGTATAAAGAAGTTCAGAAATTTACAGGCTTCTGAGCTAGAATGATCTCAAATGCCTTAAAATGGAAACCAAACCCAGAAAGACGAAGAAAACAGAAATTACCAAAGCAACTCGTGCACTGCAAGACTCTAAAAACTGGTTAATTTTTTATTACCATGCTGTGATGGTAACATTTCTAGCTAATGGGAAAAGGGAACTATGCTGCACATTCATCTAAAAATACAAATTAATTGAATTTGAAACTGAAAAGAAACAATTATTTCTTCAGCTGCATACATAACATTTTCATTGTTACAGTTATAAAGCAATCTACCATATTTTTTGGGGGATTGGATTATTTTAGATGGAATTAGCATTGGTCAGTAATAGTTTTGAAGCCTTTTTCTATTATTTTCTTTATACAGCGAGTTAGATTTTTAACTAGTCGACGCCAGATGGCATGTTGCTATTGATTTTTACCTTAAAGGAATAGTAAATAAGCAAAGATGCTCCAATTAAATTGCATTGTGGGCGTGAAATGCATGATATTGTATTTTCAGTGTTTCCCTATGATGTGAACAATAAATATTGGTCCCTTTAACTACAGCTGCAAATAGTTTACATAATTTTAGCCATGTGTAGCTATAGCTTTACAGATGATTAGGTTGAGGTAATACTTTAGACTCCATCTGTCATGAAATGCATCAACAAACTTCGATTCAAATATCTCTGCACTCCCACCTTACCTCAGCTGTACAGCTGCAGTCGACTCCGATGACAGATCCACCCCTGCTAGCAAAGCATATCTACGGTTCATGACGTTGGTTAAATGCCCCCTGAGATTATTTTGTCAAACAGGTGAGTCCTCTGACCCTTCAGAATATAACACCTCTTGTAAATGTCCTGAGAGAAAATAATTATGTTTGACAGCTTGTCTGGTTTCAGAGTCCTATGTGTATAAAGACTCAGATAGTGCAGAAAATATGTTGGACCGCAAAGCCTTTGTCCACTTACAGACAGCAGATGTCAAACTCCTCCTTGGAAATGAATATGTATCTGGCAATCTAAAATAGTTAACTTATCACAGTATTTTGTTTCATTTCTCTCCAGTGCATATGTGAGAATATTTGGAAAGTAAATATATCGCATAAACTGCTGCTACATATGATGGTGGATCTATAAAACATGTTTTACATAAAATTCATGTGTAGTATGTGTAGATTTTAAAATATACCACGGCCTTGTCCTCGTGGTCTTAGCATCTCATGTTCAGTCCTTTTTTAGACATAAGTTTCAGTCTTGTTTACAGTCTACAAGCTCCTCCAAGCAGTCAAATAATTGTTGGACAAATAAGTGAAAACTGGTCAGATCTCCTTGTTGTGTCATCACCTTCATCAGCGCAGACAAACTGTATGCATAGCATAGTATGTGAAGAAGTAATGTTATCATCCAGTCATGTATGTATAAATTTTATTGAGCTATTTTTTTCCCAAGATGTTTCTCATTTTTCTTAAGCACCAGGTCCTGCTGCACTGAAACAATGTTACTTCTGGCTCTGTGTTTTAATGGTTGTGTAATGTTATTTCCCTGAATTTTAGATTTAGTTTATGTCAGACATACCCTCTGTCCTGGAATTACAACTCATTTTGGGACTCAGAAGTGCTACAAATTAGTGGTCTTTGTTTATGTTTAAGACCACGACCTTCAGCCTACAGTGGATAAGAGGAGGAGTTTCAGTATCTTGACGTCTTTGTAACATCTTTTCCCATTTTCAAACATTTTTGATGAAGCTCCAAAGAGCCACTAGGGCGGCGCTAAAGAGCCGCGGGTTGCCGACTCCCAGGTTAAAGCCTTTCTTCTGCCTACATCCCCCAGAATGCCGAGCAGTTCTGGATCGGCATACAGAAATCTATTGAATATTTTATCAGACATATTATCTATTGATATTGATCAATATGTGTTTATTGAGATATTTATTTTCATTGATTTATTCTCTGTTCTTTACTAGGAATTGCATTTTAAAGTATCTGTTCTTTATTTTTTTATTATCTATATTATTTTAATTATTTAAAATGCTCTTAAAATTGATATTCATTTGCCCAAATATACTATAAAAACATTAAAAAAAAACACTCCCTTTTTTTTAAATGCAACAATTAATGCACGCAAAACAAAAATTACAGACCAACAAAAAGAAGTATTGATCTACAAAATAACCTGATAAGAGAACAAATAGCAAACAATGACACAAAACAATCATATTTTAAGATGAATACATTCAGGACAAATAAAAAACAACAAAATTGTTTAATATATGTGGATTCGGGTATATATGTTTTCCTCCTTTGATCATGGCTGGACGCTTCAGCACTTAAAACTCGTACTTGAGCATCTTCAAACATCTCCTGCTCGACGTTGTGTTTCTAACTATTGTGTGAGCTGTGTGGTCTGTTTTGTGTGAGTAAAACGCGTTTGAGCCGGGTGCTAAGTCCTGCCCCGCAGCCCTGTGATCTACGAGGCCAGATGCGTCGCCCAATTGACCATAAAATTGGCGTGCCTTTCTGGCTCTGGCAGCTCGACTGTAGATGGAGGCTGACCTCTCATTATTTGCCCTCCCTCCGCTCCAGCTGCCTCCTTTTCTCCCTGCACAGCCCTGACTGCTTGATGTCCCGGCCGGCGTGAATCAGTGCAACACTTCTGGAAACAATTAGTGTCGTCTGCCACTAACTAGCTCAGACCATTGAGATTTGCCATCGCCTCTTTTACGTCCTTTGACTCCACATCTGGGCCGCGAAGGTGTTCAAATGACAACCCAAGGTTTTCCCACCTTTTCTTTTCTTTTTTTTTTTTCTCACCGTGAAATCTAATAAAACTGAATTAATTCTTTTTCAGAAAGCGCGCCTGAAATGAAGCGCATAAGCAGCCAGCTGGAGAGCAAAAAGGCCTTTTGATTTATGCTGTACATGCTGCTCTGCTGTGTCACTGTGCAGATGTTTCTTTAAGCGATTCATTAGGGCTCATTTCAAGTCGCAGTACATCAGGTTTAGCTGGATAACTGTCTTGCCTGCAGGTGGGGGCTCAGAGAAAATCCTCGCAATTTATTCACAATGGTTTCTGACATATTTCCTCCCCTTTGTTCAAAAGTACAGCAAAGAAAAAGAAATTGAACCCACCCCCAAATTTTTGCCTCCTAAAAAGATATACGATTTTGAAGCTCTTTGTTGCGCGGAGGGTTTTGAAGTTGCGCCAATCAATTAACAGTCTGTAGAAACAGAGAGGGGGGCAATTCACATTTAATTGTGTTCAGACTCACTATACGTTTGAAAGGAAGGGGGAAGAAAAAAAACCTACAAAAACTAGGTCGGTTTGTGGTCCTTCAAAACCAGTGGTGTGATATACTGCACCCTTAAAGCTCACAGCGGTATTTATAGTGGCTCTGGAGATTTCCCTTGTAAAGCTGCAGGCTTGACCTGTAAACCAGGGCTGCCTCTCGCTCCCAGCCGCCCACTCGCCACTCAGAAAAACCCACGTCTGCGCCACTCATATGATAGTGTGTGAAGGAGTTAGTGTGTGTTTAATCGTAAGCAGCGTCTCTGAGACCTCATACCGGGGATGCCGAGCTCATTTTCATTTTGGGCCAAATTATGAATGTCCTCGAAGAGCCGGTGGTGGCAGAATGTCATGACAAAAACCTCATTAACAACATTAGCAAATGTTTAAAATATGAATAAATGGTTGTCTCTACTTTTGAATACTTTCTAAAGTTAAATTGAACATATTTTCAAATAGTTGTAATTGGCAGTATTGCCAGTAGTGCTCTAATTTGATTAATACAATTATATTCAAGTACACAATTGTAATCTGGAAGATTTTTTTGTGGCTCTCTAGAGTCTATAGGACCACATAAAAATATAAGAGGGGCTGGATTTGGCCACCAACCCTCGAGTTTGACATACGTTCCTTTAGAATGTGCTGCACACTTATTAAAATATAGAAAAACTCTAGGTGAGGTTTGTAGGTACGGTAACTTTATTTCCGTAGCACATTTTCAGCAACATGGAAGTTCAAAGTGTTTTGCATAAATTAGAAGGACATACAAACAAAAGAAAGACAGAAAGGTAAAGTAGAAAACTAAATATTGGCTCCCCATCTTTAATAAGAATAAGTAAAACATAGTTAATGAACTAATAAGGGTTACTCTGGATCTTAAGCTTGTTCTGGATTAATCAGGTATAAAGCTAAATGTTGGTTCTCCATGTTTGGTTCTTGTTCTAACAGGAGTTTCTCTTGTTCTGTATTTAAAGGTATAACAGGATAAATTCACATCTTATTGCAGCAGCATAATCCAACACTCAACTTTTGATTTAAGTAATTGCATTTGTGTTCATACCCCTTACTTTTAACACCACAAAATAAA